ATGGGGAGTTTTAGTGTCATCCTGCTCCTGTGGCAGCGGGTCCCCAGGATGTAGGTTTACCTGGTGGCTCGGTGTTATGCATCAGCTAAGGACTGAACAGACAATAACCATCGGCAGCATGGGATGTATTGGCACGTTTATTTTGACAGTAGTTAATTAAAGTTTCTAAGGCAATTCTATGGTCATGTGTCAGCCAAAACTTTACTTGTATAATGATACAGATCCAGATTCTGAGAACGAAATTGATATTTTAAATGATTTATTCTAACTGGTGATAACAAATTATTGAATTGCTTGGATTATAAACGCTCTCGATGCAAATCATCAGCAACAACTTAGCTACAAGTTACCCTCCAATTTCCTAAAGTTCCCAAGCAGTAGCTTGGAGAAGTAGCTATATTCTGCCTGCGTTAATGTTGTTTCTTCACAAATCTTTCGCTCAAAGATTTATACTGCCTGAATCTAAGGCTATGTAAGGTGACACAGCAATGGATGTAATTTACAGTCAGTTGCAAATAGATAAACAGACACAGAAAGGTACAAAAAGTTGGGCCTTAAATCAGTAAGCTGTGATCTTAATACCAATGTATGTAATAAACATCATCTTTCCTGAAGATTAATGGCCATTTTGAGAACTGATGACACAGACTGTCATTGACCTTTGCAGGAATTACCTGGATCCACATCACTATTACTTTTCTAAAGGGTGTTTGTAATAGAAATAAACTTCAGAAATAGTGCACTTGTACACACCAAACATCTTCCCACACATGTACAACTAAAAATATCTGAACTTTGATTGTACATCAGACCAGTTTGAAGAAAACAAAAAGCTGGGGATCTTCAGGAATAGGGAACTCAATTAACTGAACCTTGCAACACCTTCCCCAGTTCTGGAGCTCTGTGGAGCTGGTGCCCAGACCAGCAGATGTGGAGTACTTTGGTTTCAAGGCTCTCTAACTTTAAAAAAAAAAAGCATACCTCAGGTCACATCTGCAGCTGCCACAAAGCTCAGGCAGTGCTGATGATCAAAGGAACAAAATTTACTTGAGCGCATATCCTGGTTTTTGTCTTAATTTAATCCTTCCTCAAACTGGAGACCTTAGAGCAGCCTTCCAGTACCTGAAGGGGCCTACAAGAGAGCTGGAGAGGGGCTTTTTACAAGGGCACGGAGTGACAGGACAAGGGATAATGGCTTTGAACAGAGAGGGCAGATTTAGATTAGATGTAAGGAAAAAAATTCTTCACCATGAGGGTGGTGAGGCCCTGGCACAGTTTGCCCAGAGAAGCTGTGGGTGTCTCCTCCCTGTCCCTTGGATAACAGCAGAATACTGGTGCTGACAGGCACTTAAGGCATTTTGCTTTTCAGGTGACCTCTCCTGATCGGATGTGCAAGATGATTTTCAGCCCTAGTTTGTGTGTTCTTCTTTAATTCAAGGGGGATTTTGAAGGGAAAGA